AAATATCTCTACTGTCGCTCTTGTAGATACCGGTGCAGCTGTTTCGGTAATAGATGCTCGATTTTGCCGCTCAATTCGTAAGGTTACGACGCCTTTCTCCGGATTATCGCTTCGCACAGCCAGTGCTCAACCTGTTCAACCGACCGCAGTATGTACAGCCCGCGTGACAATTCAGGACGTTCTGTATACGATAGAGTTCGTTGTTCTTTCATCATGCTCCCATAATATTATTTTGGGATGGGACTTTTTGTCGCGTCATAACGCCGTAATCGACTGTGCTAGGGCTGAGGTGGAATTTTGCTCACTGGATGACCAAGCGTCCGTCGACACCCAGTTTGCCGCTAAACTTGTCGTTAGCGATGACACCTACATCCCTCCATGCTCTTTTGCGTTCGTGCCAGTTTCATGCAGCGCCATATCCGACGGCACGGCCTTCTTCACACCATCTCCAATATTCGTCGCCCGAAGAGCTCTCCCCCTGCCTTTTGCTGCTCTCGATCTTGTAGAAGGGTCAACCACAATGCCAATTTATAATCATGAGTCGTCGTCTTTATTTCTACTTTGTCGCGAGTGCCTTGGCCACGTCGAGACAATCAGTTCTTCCAGAATTATATCCGTCCCCAATGAGGTGCCTTCTACCTCCGTCTGTGAACTGGCTGTCGTCTCAGCGCCTGACTCAACGTCGGCAAACATATTTCAACCATTCATCTCTGCAGATTTGACATCTTCGCAGCGTTCACAACTCCTCACCATTCTTGAGAGCTACCGCCACTCTTTCGACGTTGAACAAACATCTCTCGGCCGTGCCTTAGCAGTAGAACACCACATCGACACTGGGTCCCACTCACCGCTGCGACAACGACCATATCGCGTGTCCGCTACAGAACGCCGCGTCATTGCTGACCAAGTAGACGACATGCTTCGCAGAGGCGTCATTCGACCTTCACAGAGCCCATGGGCGTCTCCGGTGGTTCTCGTCAAAAAGAAAGACGGTTCTATTCGTTTCTGTGTCGATTTCCGGCGATTGAACAAGATCACGCTGAAGGATGTCTATCCACTACCGCGCATTGACGATGCTTTGGACAGTTTGCAGGGTGCCGAGTTCTTTTCCTCGTTAGACTTGCGGTCAGGCTACTGGCAGGTGCCTATGGCGGAGGCCGATCGCCCCAAAACCGCTTTTGTCACGCCAGACGGCTTATATGAATTCACCGTCATGCCCTTCGGACTTTGCAATGCACCTGCAACGTTCGAACGAATGATGGACAACATCCTGCGTGGACTAAAATGGAAGATATGCTTGTGTTACCTCGATGATATCGTGGTCTTCGCCCCTAACTTTGACACACACTTACGTCGCCTTCAGCACGTCCTTACTTGCTTAACTAACGCCGGTTTGCAATTAAATCTCAAAAAATGACGATTTGCCATGCATCAACTGAACATTTTGGGCCACGTTGTTTCCAAGGAAGGCATCCTCCCGGATCCCGAGAAATTGCGAGCTGTTACGGCGTTTCCTAAACCTGCCACCATCAAAGAACTTCGAAGTTTCATCGGCTTGTGTTCGTATTTCCGGCGATTCGTCCGAAACTTCGCGTCTGTTATATCACCTCTCACGCAAATTCTCAGCAGCTGTAAAGACCTCTTATCGTGGTCCCCTGCCTGCGACGAGGCTTTCAACACCCTGCGATGGCTTCTTACGACGCCACCAATTATACGCCATTTCGATCCTGAAGCGCCAACTGAAATCCACACCGACGCCAGTGGTGTAGGCCTGGGTGCTGTGCTCGCACAGCGTAAACCGGAACATCAGGAATACGTCGTGGCATACGCTAGTCGCACACTTACCAAGGCTGAGAGCAACTGCAGCGTCACAGAAAAGGAGTGCTTGGCCATTGTGTGGGCCCTTGGAAAGTTTCGCCCATATCTATATGGTCGTTCTTTTGACGTCGTGACCGACCACCACGCGCTGTGCTGGCTTTCGACGTTAAAAGACCCATCTGGCCGCCTCGCTCGCTGGGCGTTGAAAATTCAAGATTACGACATACGCGTGGTTTATCGGTCAGGACGGAAGCATGCTGACGCCGACGCCCTTTCCCGTTCCCCCCTGTCCCAGAATACCACAGCTGACTCCGCTTGCGATTCCACATTGTCATCGCTTGACTTTGACACCATTGCTATTGAACAACGCAATGACCCGTGGACTGCGTCTCTCCTCAATCATCTCTCCGACACTTCTGAACTCCCAAAGACGCGAACGCTTCGGCGCCAAGTTCCACACTTCTCGATACGTGACACGCTTCTCTATCGACGTAACTACGCACCAGAGGGACGCAAGTGGCTGCTCGTCGTTCCACGAACCCTGAGGTCGCAGATTTGTTCCTCTTTTCACGCTGACCCACAATGTGGCCACGCAGGAGTCTTAAAGACCTACGAAAGGCTTCGACATCGCTACTACTGGCGTGGCATGTATACCTTCGTCCGCAACTTCGTCCGCTCTTGTGCCGAATGCCAGCGCCGAAAATCTCCACCACACGCCTCCGCCGGTGAACTGCAGCCTTTACCATGCCCTTCCCGACCCTTCGAACGGGTTGGAATAGATATTTATGGGCCACTTCCATTGACTCCGACTGGCAACAGGTGGATAATAGTTGCTATCGACCACCTAACGCGCTATGCTGAGACCGCTGCTCTTAAAACGGCTACAGCACAAGAGGTTGCCACTTTCCTACTACGTCATTTTGTGTTGCGTCATGGAGGCCCTCAAGAACTCCTCAGTGACCGCGGCCGCGCCTTCTTGTCCGAGGTCATTGAAAAATTGCTCGCTGAGTGTGCTATTGTACATCGCACATGTACCGCTTACCACCCACAAACCAATGGGGCTACCGAGCGCTTTAATCGTACTCTCGGTGACATGCTATCTATATATGTGACGCCTGACCACTCTAACTGGGGCTTAGTTCTCCCATTCATTACATACGCCTACAATACGGCAACGCAAGTGACAACAGGCTTCTCCCCTTTTTACCTCCTCTACGGCCGTCACCCCTCCCACACCATTGACACCATTTTGCCCTATCGACCAGACGCGTCCGAGTGCCTATCAATCTTGGACGCCTCCAGACACGCAGAAGAATGCCGCCAGTTAGCTCGTCGCTTTACCTGCGATGACCAAAACAGGCAAAAGGCAATTCGTGATGCCCAGACCTCAACTCCCGTTTTTCTTCCGGGTTCTCTTGTATGGCTGTCAGTGCCGCATCACACACCTGGGCTCTCTTCCAAACTTCTGCCAAAGTACGATGGGCCATATCGTATTGTCGAACAAACTTCGCCAGTAAACTACCTCATTGAGCCTCTTACGCCACCATCAGACTTGCGACGTCGCAACCGCGAGGTTGTACACGTACAGAGGCTCAAGCAATACCACGGTTCAACGCCGCCTGCACAGGACTAAGTCGCCAGGATGGCTCCTTTTTTTCTCCGTGGGGCCATTGTAAAGAAGAGGAAGTACTCCGGCGCAGAGGCAGCAGCATCGAGTGTGCAGCAGCGGCAGCAGCGTCGAGTGTGCAGCAGCGGCTCGAGCTCGGAAATTGCGGCTGGTGCATCGCCTTCCAAGCCTTCCAAGCACCAACCTTTCTGCTTAATAAATCTCCTTTATAATATATATATATATATATATATATATATATATATAGAGAGAGAGAGAGAGAGAGAGAGAGAGAGCAATTGTCTATAGTTCAAAACAATATGTCACCAATCGCAAGATACTCAAAACAACGGGCTACACAAAACAATCAGATACACTCAAAACAACGGACACAAACCACGACACGCGCTGCAATGCAACCTCATGCGCGTATTCAGTCCAAAGCTCTTGGAACAAAGATGAATGGTTCTCTTCAAGGAACCACTCACTCAAAGTTCAGCGCTGCTGTTGTTCCGCTGGTCCCGAAGTTTCTATTCCAGGAAACTTCTCGTCGCGAAATGTGCGCACCCCGATAAGAAAACTTCTTCGCCGGTAACACGCCACGCACTGACGTGCCACGACTGCAGAACGCGTCTTCGTTTACTGGCGGTAAACACACACTCTTCTCCTGCTTGTAATACAAGCTTTCACCCGCAGGCAAAAAACTTCTTCATCTCATCTGCTTTGTCGTTGAAGACATAAACTTTCACCCTTCTGCGGAAAAATTTTCGTCTGCTCTACGCGCGCTGGCGCAAATCTTCCTTCATGTTCTGATCACCAACATCCGCTGCTCACTTAAACACGTTCGCCCTGGGCTCCAGAAGGTTCTTCGGTGCATTGCACAGCCAAAGCCAGAGAAAGGGCAAGCCTTTCGACAACCATTCGTGACACAAGACGCAACTCGGGAGTGACTCACGCTTTTCTCCTCGAAGCATCTTGCGTTTGCTGGGCAATCAGTGAGTGCGGGGAGGTTGGTCCGCGTAGCGACGTGCCTTCGAGGAGGATGGGTTGCGTACCCAAGGAGTCCTTTTATGTTTGTTTTCTTCTTTTTCACCGGTGTCTGGCACGTCAGTCTGGCGCCTTGATTTGTCGCCATCGCTCGAATTCGGAGGAGCGCGCTTTCTTGAGCGCTCGTTGTGACAGGCACACAGTAGATAATTAGAAACGTCAGTTTTGCTGCCCGCCCTAAATACTGGAAAAATGTGCCCCCACATGCTGGTAATTGTGGAAACATTGAGACTGTTATTAAGCATTGTAGTCAGTACTGGGCCAAATTTACTACAATAATTTTAATATTATGACAATAGTACTACTAAATATTGCAAAAATCGGGAACTGTTTGCTGGTTTTGGTCATGTCGTGGTTTATTGATTGCTGTGAGTGAATCAGTGTTCATTACATTGCCGGGTAATAGCTGACTTAGGTGAGTGCCGTAATACTTGCGTGAAGTGGCTAAGAAATAATGGAGGACTTCAAGGAGCAGCTTGTTTCTGAGATGAACTTCAACTGATGATTCGTATGCGCTCTTATATTTCAGCAAACTGCGTCGTACCAGTTGATCAGAGTGCTGCTGTCCTACACCAGACTCACTGGTGGCATCACCACAAGGTATTATGCCCTTGCTTCCTTGGTAAGGAAGGGTCCTTGCTGGATCTTTCTGCTTACTGTGTATTTTTCTGCGAATATGGGTTAGAATAAATCAGAATATTTGATAGCATATTTTTCATGCGTAGGCGCGATATTTAAGATTATGTCCTGTACGCAAAATGTGCGTGCCACTGCATATATATATATATATATATATATATATATATATATATATATATATATATATATATATATATATATATATATATATATATATATACACAAGGGAAAGAAGTGTATACCTAAGGGCTCGTTTTTCCGTGTTTTGACACAATATTAATGAGATCTAACAGACAGTAATGCCAAGGAATGTACAGGGGAAGTTATTAGAACGCATGGAATGTAAATAAGAAGAAATAAAAGTGGGTGAAAAGATAACCAGCCGTGAGCAGGAACCGAATATATATATATATATATATATATATATATATATATATATATATATATATATATATATATATATATTATTGAGATCTAACAGATAGTAATGCCAAGGAATGTACAGGGAAAGTTATCAGAACCAACGGAATGTAAATAAGAAGACAGAAAAGTGGACGAAAAAATAACCAGCCGTGAGCAGGAATCGAACCTACCACCTTCGAATAACGCGTTCGATGCTCTAACCACTGAGCTACCACAGCGGCCTCCCGTCCATCCACTTTTTGGGTTTATATGTGTTATTCGAAGGTCGTAGGTTCGATTCCTGCTCACGGCTGGTTATTTTTTCATCCAATTTTCTTTCTTCTTATTTACATTCCATTGGTTCTAATAACTTTCCCTGTACATTCCTTGGCATTACTGTCTGTTAAATCTCATTAATGTTGCGTCAAAACACGGAAAAACGAGCCCTTAGGTATACACTTCTTTCCCTTATATATATATATATATATATATATATATATATATATATATATATATATATATATATATATATATATATATATATATATATATATATATATATATATATATATATATATATCATAGACACGGTGAATCGACAAAAGCATAGTCACACAGTGGCGAGAACTCGACCTCGGAGCGAGCACAGTCTATTACAGCATTGTGAGTACGTAGGAAGTCCCATCCTAGAATGATATCGTAGGAACATTGCACAAGCACGCAAATTCGACCATATAAAAAACGTCTTCGATGACAACCCGTGCAGTGTACGCAGCGAAACGCCGAATGTGTTGCGCATTAGCAGTGCTCAAACTAAAGTTGCGAAGAGGCATCGTAACTTTTCGTAGTTGTCGGCAAAGCTTCTCAGACGTGACAGAAACTGCGGCTCCTGTGTTCACAAGCGCTGAAACATGTACACCGTCAACAGAAACAGCAATAACATTACATGGTGGAAAACAAAGGCTTGAAAAGTTCGAAAGCAGCGCAGTTCTTGCCTTCAAAACTGTGATTCCCATTTTTTCTCTGGGTCAGGCGAGGGAGGTCGCCTCAAGGGAGAAAGAGAACGGCGTCGCGGTGACGGCAACCGCCGTACATTGAATGCCGTCGAGTCGAAGAATCAGGAGCGTTGTGCAGTCCAGATGAAGTAGGATCAGGTCGGGGCACGATATTGTAACCGTGTAGCCTCATGTCATCATACTGAGGTCATGGCGTGAAATCGTAACCGTATAAGCTCATGTCATCATCCTGCATAAAGCCTTGTCGCTTGCAAAACCGTGCTACGTGACCCGGGAAACCACACGCGTAGGATATGGGGCGATTATCTTGAGTGCGCCATGAATTCTCGGAATGGGGTGCCAGTCTGGAGGATGGTCGAGTAGCCTGATGCACAAGCTGAGGCGATGGCACAAATGGGTGCGCAGGGGCGTAGGAGTTGGCAGCGGGAAATCGCCGATGGGCGACCAATGCTTCAGCATGCGTAAGCGGAGCAGTGACTAGTGGTGCAGTGGCTGCGGGAAGCACCTCGGCGACTTGCTCCTGAACAACACGTTGTACTGACGTCGGTAGCAAATGCGGGGCGGGATCAGTGACGCAAGACAAAAGGGAGAGCTAACGGGCGACTTCGTCACGCACGAACTGCATGATGTCTCGAAGTAAAGTGGCGTGGTCCTGCGCAAAGCCAGGAGACGTGAGAGCGGCAATGATTATGTAGGAAGACGTGTGACGTTTGGTTTCCTACATATTTTATTTATCCTTGCTCTGACATGGACGTCCACAGACACTGTCGTTCTTATTGGCGTCTTCTTCTCCCGTGCTGGCTCGAACACGCGGAGCAGCTGTGGTACAACTTCTTCGTCTTCTTCGAAACGCTGACGGCTTGCTATAGTTACACCTGATGCAGTGGCGTGACAAGTAGATTCCCGTTGCTTCCAGAGTTCGTCATAGCTTTGCCCCAGCTGTATGACGTCGGCTACCATTGGCGGAGTTTTAGCGATGAGCATCTGGAAGGCGTCGTCAGACACCTTTCAGGATATGCTTTATCATCTGCGCCTCCGTCACCGAGGAGTAGATGCGCCTGCAAAGGGCGACCACATCTTTAATGTAACTGGTGACGCTCTTGCCCTCTTATTGTGCTCGACCTCGCAGGCGCTGTTCAGTACGCAATTTCCGAAGTTCCGGACGGTTGAAAAGTTGAACGAAGGCCGTTTTGGAGGTTGGCGAGGTAGGAAGGTCAGTGCTGTGGTTACGCAACCACACTTTGGCGGCGTCAGTCAAGTAGAAGATGACGCTGGTAAGCTTGTGCGCATCATCCAATTTGTTGTGTTTGCTTGCAAGGTTGTACTCATCAAGTCTGTCTTCCGTGTTTTTGTCTTCAGTACCACTAAAGAGAGGAGGGTCACGCTGCCAAAGAGGCCCGGAGCAAACAACAGTTGGAGCGGTTGTTGCCTGGGGGGGAGGGGAGGGTCAGGCTGGTCGTCATTGTCTGGCGCCATGAAATCAACTGGAAAGAACGTGTGGTTGCGAAGTTCCAGGACGACGGTAGCGTACCCGGCACCTCTACCAATTCAAATAAGGCGTTTTGGCGCAGCACGTCTTTAATGAACCGTATGGTTCGTCGCAGAAGGTCAGCTGCTGTTTATTTCGAAAACATCCGGGGTCCCCACGCCGCGTGTTGGGAGTATCCAGGCAGAGTAAGCTTCACCGCTGGGGCGACGCGTCACAGCCCCTCGAAGCACACCTGTACTCTGTTTAGCTACCGGTGGGTGGCCGGCCGGCACTGGGGATCGAACCCCGCACCTCCCGTAGCTGAAGCGGACGCGTACGTGCAATGCTACAGCTACGGTTATTTCGAAAACATCCCTTCTTCCAAGTTCGTACAGAGCATGCGCAAAGGTATTCAACTAAATCACTGCGTTAATCCTATCCATGCAAGTCACCACTGTTCAAGAAAGTCACGCTTTTTTCGGGTCAAAAACACAGTAGCTGCACTTAGGCATTTTCCAGGCCAAGTTTTTCAAATATGGTACGCCCCAAATAAGTTTTAAGCAGGACTTGTTTTAACTTGAAGTTATTACACTTGATGTCTTGACCACTCCTTTCACTCTGCGTCATAGTCTTAACTATAATGGATACATTTCCAAACATGGGTGTACAACCTCGCTGTTTGCAAGGTAGCTGAAGGTTACCACCAGTGCCAGATGGTGGAAGATTTGCGTGCTCCTGCAAACGAACGTTAATGCATCGATGAGATTTTTTAATGTATTGCTTATCTCGACTAAGTGGAATGCTATACACCACACATGTGTCACATGTGCAGTATTTCTTGTCACATTTGATGTTGCAAACTCTGCTTTGTGCGCCGCGCTGCTCAACCCTTGTTCAAAAACCTGCAAGCTTGCTTGTTGCACAACAGACCAATCTGATATTGTTTCTGGCAGCAATCTTTTTCAAACTGTGTTAGCTACGGTGACGTAAAGCATAACCACCATGTTCTTTTTGATTTTTCAGGCTTTTGATAAGGGAAGAGAGCGACTTTCCTAAAAAGTGGTGTCTTGCATAGATAAGGCTGATGCAGTGATCTAGTAGGGTGGCCTTGCGGATGATACGGGTTGATATTGATATGTGAAGTTTGACGTCCCAAAACCATCATATGATTATGAGAGACGCCGTAGTGGAGGGCTCCGGAAATTTCGACCACCTGTGGTTCTTTAACGTGCACCCAAATCTGAGCACACGGGCATACATCATTTCCGCCTCCATTGGAAATGCGGCCGCCGCAGCCGGGATTCAATCCCGCGACATGCGGTTCAGCATCTGAGTACCTTTGCCACTAAACCACCGTGGAGGGGCACGGATTATACGGGCTTAGCAGGAGACATTTCCGCGAAATGAACGTCAGTTTAGTAGCCACCGCTGTGTTCACTGTCTCTGCTTCTGCCGCACAGTTGTTTCTTATTCGACGTTTTATTGAATTTATTCAAGTGTAAATCTTTGAATTTCAAGCCTGAGAAGCAAGAACACCTGTGTGAAAAATTGTGCCTCCCGGCGCCTGGCTGCCAATGAAGTAGCCTGAGAAGATGGTCTTGTGGTTTCGAGGATTGCCATGCAGCTCCAATGTCAGCGCTAGAACACAAGTGTCCTTGTCTATGTTTTATATATGCGTCACAAATGTCTGAAATTCTCGACCAGATAATAAATATGGAGAAAACTGGAAGCTTTAAAATTTGAAGGTACTAAACTTGATGTCTTGACCACTTCCTTCCCACCTAATCTATTGTTCTGGAGATGTTCACGCCTAAAAACATTTGTCAGAGAGCGTGGGTATGCATATAGTGCATATGATTATCAATATTATGATTATCGATAGGATAGAAAGGTTGGCTAGTTGGTAATTCATGGTGGTTCAGCGAACTAGGAGCGCGAGGGTAAACACAGACACAAAGCAAAGAGGAGCTCGTGCTGTGTGCCTCCTCTTTGCTTTGTGTCTGTGTTTACCCCCGCGCTCCCAGTTCGCTGAACTACCAATATGATTATCAATCTTGCCCAAGAGTATTCTTAAGAAAAAAAATATGCACAGATGTGCCAATTGAGCCAATTAAGTCGATTAAACTTCATAATCTCCCGGATTTGAATCGGGCTGTTGAAGAGAGCCCATAAGAGAGCAGCGCAGTTTATAAGAGTATGACGGACAAAGTCACACACAAGCTAGTCGCTGTTATAAAGCAATAGAATGTGTGTGGGTAGCTGCTTGAGTAGCATGCAATATCCGAAAAATTTGTTTTAAATAGTTAATATTTAGTAACTACATCATCAACAAATACTACGAAAATTCCACTCGTACACAGACAGCAACCATGTATCTGCATAGCACCAATTTGTTCTAATTTCCCATTTTGCTCTATTTTTTGCCCGTGACTAGTAGTAGTATGCCGGACAAACAATGCCCAATTCACGCAATCGTCTTATGTATATAGTACTTTATCTTCACAGCAAAGGTGCTTTAAACGCTGGAAATTTTTCATGTCATGAACATACTACTGCGACAGCGTATAAGAAGTGCTCCTCGCGGTGTGTTCGTTGCTTATAAACACTGGCTAGCTGTACCGTTTTACGTATGCTTTGGTGTAACTCTAGAAACATTGAATCGTTTATTATTATTATTATTAATATTAATATTATCATTATCAATATATTATTATTATTATTATTATTATTATTATTATTATTATTATTATTATTATTATTATTATTATTATTATTATTATTATTATTATTATTATTATTATTATTATTATTATTATTATTATTATTATTATTATTATTATTTTTATTGATAATGTTTGTTGTTAACATAATCATTTATAGACACATAGAGACACTGCTTCGACTGACTTTGCATAATCTCCGCAATCGAACCTCTACTGCACTGGTGTGCTAATGCAGCGGCTAACTTTTGCGAGACTGGGCAAGTGATTGAATCTTTTCGTCATGTACTTGTAAAACTCACACGTACTTTTGGCTTGAATGATTTTGTCCAGGTTGAAGTGCAGCCTGGAACAAGAGTGACTCAATTTGAGGAAAGGTTTTTCGTTCAGTGCAAAGCAGGGTATGAGCTCCTTCACGGCATTGACAACCCACATCAGAAGCCACTCCGCTGTCAGGGGGGCTTATGGGACCCCCCGGGCCCTTGGTGCAAAGAACGTGAGTGCATTTGCTGCATGCGTTGCGGGTGACTGTCATTAATAAAAAAAAAAGAAGGGGGCTATAATGCTTTATTTATGCATATACTGTCAGTCCTACCTATCGGCTGTACAGAGAAGAAAAGTCGCTAGTATAAGGGACGAAAAATATTCTATCTTCAGGTTCTACACCTTGTAAGAGAACCGCGAGCGTATAAAATTGGCAAAGCATCCGCCTTCAGAGCGTCGTGTATTCCGAATGACACACAGCAGAACCTCGTTGATACGACCCCCTTTAATACAATTTTCGACTCCTACGCTTGCAATCACGAAATCTAAAAATAAGTCCATAAAACTGTGTGTAATACTTTCAAGAAAACTACGGTCATTAAGCAGCTACAATCGGCGCCTTTAGAAAATGTTGTCGTATGATACGTTCTGCAGCCAGAAACTCTCATTCAGATGTGCAGAAAGCGCCTACTCGTGTACTTGTGAAGCGCTACCGGCCCTCAGGGACGGGGGCTTCTCCGCCGTGCCCGAATTCCCCTCTTCGCGCTCCTTTGCTCAGTTCTCCACTCAGCGTATTCTCCGAATCACATGATCTTTGCCTCCGTGCCTTCTGTGAATCGCTCGATCGCCCTTCTTTGCCAGCCAAACCACCATCCGTAGCAAGGTACACAGGTACACTCGTTCCACACACGTTTGTTTACACCACAGGTTAAACAACAGCCGGAGGAACACTGCAAATCTACCAATGCGGCACAAAAAATGGAGGCTGTTGCTCCTCTAGTCTGCCTCGCTTCGGTACGAGACCTGAAACGCACATGCCGCGACTCACGACACGCCACGACACGTAACCATACCAATGACGCCGTTGTGAAGTTCACCACACGTGCAAAGAAAACTGCAGCCCCGCAAACAGCTTAACAAGCTCAACTCTGCGCAGTGGAAGAAATAATCCCGGCATAACGCGATATGCGAAATGTCGCAAAAGTGATAAGCGGACAAGCGTCTCCGAAAGCGAAAGGTTCTCGCACCTATCGCGTACTACTTCGCACACACGCGCTGCGTTTCGTCTTAAGTTTTCGCTGCCACTCGTAATCGCGTGCACCAATCTCGCAAGGCAGAAAAAGGTTAAAGAATAACGGAAAACGGGTGGTAAAGACTCGAGCGTCCGTATTGAGATCAGTCGATTCCTCTCAACGAAGGCGCCGAACGCACATCGTCTTTTTTGGCCTCTGATGGCCTTCTAGAACAAATTTATTTTGGTAGGTCCCGACGACCCGATGATAGAAAAACGAACGCCGCATTGAAGTTCACAGCGCGCAATTGATGAAGCAACCGAAACACACACACACACACGCGCGCGCACGCACGCACACACACACACACACACACACACACACACACACACACACACACACACACACACACACACACACACACACTGGAAGATGACAGCCTCTATTCTTTGTGCCACACTGCTAGATCCGCAGTGTTCCTACAGCTGTTCTTATGGCCATGGGGTCTGAACAGCAAATTGATGATTGTTATGTGACGTTTAACGTCCCATAACCACCTAATGATTATGAGTGACGCCCTAGTGTAGGGCTCCGGAAATTTCGACCACCCGGGATTCTTTAACGTGCACCTAAATATGAACACACAGGCCTACAGCATTTTCCCCTCCATAGAAAATGCAGCCGCAGCAGCTGGGATTTGATCCTGCGACTTGCGAGACAGCAGCCGAGTACCTTAGCCACTAGAGCACCACAGCGGGGTGGGTCTGAACAAAAGTGTGTGGAACGAGTGTGCACCTGTGTACCATGCTACAAATAAAGGATTTGCAATGTTCAAGAAAATCTTGCAAAGTGCAACAAGAAAGACATTTTTGAAAGCCGTCGTAAGATTTTTACACGCACCTACTATCGCCTTCGGGTCGGTGTGTAGTTACTCAGTCTGAATTACTCAGTCGCTCGTAAGGAGCGACTGAGTAATTCGGAGAACAAACGAAGGCTCAGTTGAGCAAAGCAGCGCGGAGGGAGGGAACGGGGTTCGGCCCCGCAAACAAGCCACCGTCAATGCTTGGCGGCTCTCTGCCACTTGACGCTTCACACGTACGTACACGAGAGTGAATTTCTGGCACACCTGAATAAGTGTGTCGGAGGTAACACGGGAAAGATCCAGCCCTGACAGCGTTCAGTTTTCCAACTGATTTTTTTTTATCATCGCGCTGCACTCGCCGCGCGGCCCAAATGCCAACTTCTTCTTCCTTGACGAGCGGCGCATTGAGGCGCTACAGGGCTCCCCCCCCCCCCCTTAGAGCGAGAGCCGTAGGAATCCCCAGAGGAGTCGCCCAGTGGACATGCTTGGATTTTGGCATCCAGACTTTAGATTGAAATCCCGCGGCCGCGAGAGTGGCGATATACGCAGGTTTCAGTCGATCAGCAGCCACGACGTCTTCACGGCCATTGATGTCCAGCGTGAACGTCTTAGCTGTACGATGGAGTACACGGAATGGGCCATCATAGGCTGATGTTAGTGGTGGCCGTATTTGGTGACGCTGAACGAAGACGTGACTGCAGTCATGCAGATCCTGACTGACGAAGACAGACTGGAGGTGTCGGTCGGCAGGAATCACAGGAGCAAGGTCCCGAAACGTGGTGCGCAGCTCTCGAATATACGTGGAGGCATCGTGAGTGGAAGGTGGCGATGATGGCTCGAAGAATTCTCCTGGAAGACGCAGGGAAACGCCATAGACTAGTTCTGCTGATGAGCAGCCGAGATCCACTTTCAATGCTGATTGGATGCCCAGAAGTACGAAGGGGAGGTGGTCGAGCCAACGTTCCCTTGGCTGGTGAGCAGTGAGGGCAGCTTTCAGTTGTCGATGAAGCCGTTCGACCATGCCATTGGCGGAAGGATCGTAGGCAGTTGTGTGGATGTGTCGAATGCCCAGGATATTGGCAAGTGCGGTGAAAAGGGCTGATTGAAACTGACGACCGCGATCAGTGGTGACGACAGAGGGGCATCCAAAGCACGACACCCAGCCGTTTGTGAAAGCCTTGGCAACTGTTGGTGCTGTAATGTCGGAAATGGGAAACGCTTCCGGCCATCTGGTGAAGCGATCCACACATGTCAGCAGGTAACAGGCTCCTTGCGATGACGGAAGAGGACCGACGATGTCGAGATGGACGTGAGAAAACCTTGCGTCTGGAGGCCGAAACGGGGATGTTGCCGTGACAGTGTGACGGTGAACTTTAACGCGCTGGCACTCAAGGCAGGTTCACGCTCAGCGTCGGACATCAGCATTGATGCTTGGCCAAAGGAAACGAGATGTGACTAGCTTCTGGGTCACACGAATACCAGGATGGCTCATGCTGTGCAATTGATCAAAAATTGCTCGACGAAAAGCTGAAGGCACGAAGGGCCGAGAGACACCCGTAGACGTTTCGCGCGTTATTAATGAGGTTGAAAATGGAAGCGGGTACTCCGTGAACGATAGAGACGTGGATGAAGAGCGAAGACGATGCAGCTCAGGATCGTTGCTTTGGGCAGCTGCTAGCTCTTCCATGTCTAGTGGTGGCTGGGTCAACAAGGCATCGATGCGGGATAGTGCATCAGCAGCAGCATTTTCCGGCCCATGTACGTGTCTGAGATCCACAAGGAACTCGGAAATAAAGCATAGTTGACAGATCTCCCGTGCAGTATAATTGCTGCGATTGCGATAGAAGGCAAACGTCAGGGGCTTGTGGTCTGTAACGACGTAAAAGTTCCGGCCCTCCAATAAATGACGAAAATGTTTGATGGCGAGGTATACCGCGAAGAGTTCTCGAGCAAACGTACTGTATTTTGCCTCTGGTGGTTTCAGGTTTTGCGAGAAAAACCCAAGGGGCTGCCAACCGGATACGTGCTGCTCGAGAACGGCGCCAACTGCCACGCTTGATCCATCGGTGATGAGACGAATTGGGGCATCAGTGACGGGATATATGAGCATGGTAGCGTCTGCAGAGCCTTCTTGGCAATGCCGAAGGCAGATGCAACGTCCTTGGGCCACTCCAGCGGCGCAGCCGGGTCTTTCTTTTTAGCTAATAGGTCGGTCAAGGGCTTTAGGAATGTGGCGCACTTTGAAAGAAAGCGGCGATGGAAGTTTAGTAGGCCCAGAAATTCTCGGAGTCTCTTCAGTGAAGTCGGTGGTGGAAAGTCTTGAATATCCTTCACTTTGCTGGCGAGTGGTTGGATACCCTTTGGAGTGACAAGGTGGCCTAGAAACTCTATTGTAGCGACGCCGAAGATGCACTTGTTGGGATTATTTACGAGGCCGTAATCATCCAGGTGGTGCAACAGGGTGCGCAGGTGGGCTTCATGCTCAGGGCCGGATTAGCTTGCTACAAGGAGGTCATCAAGGTAGGCAAATACGAAATTGAGACCTCGCGTGACCTTGTTGATAGTGTGCTGAAAGGTCTGTGCAGAGTTGCGCAATTCAAAAGGCATCCTCACATATTCAAACAGACTGAATGGGGTGGTGATGGCCATCTTCGGAATGTCGGCGGGTTCTACAGGAATATGATGGTAAGCATTCACTAAGTCAATCTTAGAGAAGATTGTGCACCCAGCCAAATTCGATGTGAAATCCTGTATGTGAGGAAGTGGATAGCGGTCTGGTAAGGTGTGGGCATTGAGAGCGCGGTAATCCCCACACGGTCTCCAGTCGCCAGGATCTTTCTTCGGCACCATGTGGAGTGGCGACGCCCAGTTGCTGGAGGAAGGCCGCACAATACCGAGTTCAAGCATGTGCTCAAACTCACGGCGGGTGATGGCGAGGCGTTCTCCAGATAGTCGACGGGGTCGTGTAAAAACGGGAGGTCCAGTGGTCACAATGTGGTGAGTGATGGAATGCTTCACCGGCGACTCTCTGGTGTGCGGCTTCGCGATGCTGGGAAAGTCGCCGAGTATTTTTGCATACGGCGAAGCAGGTGTGAGAGCTCGCAGTCCCGTTGGCGAGGAAGTACAGAGTACACCGTT